ACAATAACGGCGACGTGCCCGAGAAAGCTATTTCTCCCTGGAGCTTTCCCGGAGGCTGGCCCACGGAGGCCCTAAACTGGCGAAACCCGTCGAAAACCACGGTCGCCGACATGTATTCATTCGACCCAACGACGCTGACGACGACGGCGACGACGACGACGACGACGACGACGACGACGACGACGACGACGACGACGACGACGGCGACGACGACGACGACGCAGACGACGACGCTGACGACGACGACGATGACGAAAACGACGACGACGACGACGACGACGACGACGACGACGACGACGACGACGACGACGACGGCGACGACGCAGACGGCGACGTCGACGACGACGACGCAAACGACGACGACGACGACGACGACGACGACGACGACGACGGCGACGACGACGACGACGACAACGACGGCGACGGCGACGGCGACGACGACGACGACGACGACGACGACGACGACGACGACGGCGGCGGCAGCGACGATGACGACCAGCATGTCTTTCCGGCGCAATGAACCAGAAGCCCGGGCAAGGAAATGTAGCAGAATGACCGCCTGCGCCCAAAGCACAGCGCGCGCGAACGAACTTGTGCCGGAGACGTGCACGCTCCGCGAGAGTCCCGTGCCTGTCAGGCCCAGGCGCTGAGGCCGCAGCTTTAAAAACTTGATATGTGAGCAGACTCACGTGAAAGCTTATGCTGCTCCCATCGCACTTCAGGACCACATCCCAGACATAATCTCGAGGAAAGAAAATCGAAAGAGTGCCGAAACAGTGTCGGACGAGTGTCTCCCAGGACCCGACAAGTGAAAACCCTCGAGTTCTGGTATTTTGGGGGGGCTCGAAATTCTTCCTGGTGATCACGGCTAGAATAGGTTGGAACATCATAAATGAAAGCCAGCAATCACTGTTCCCTGCCGCCGGTAACCATCGTAGGTCGTTTGTCTTGTTTTGCTCGCGCCTCGCTGCCCAAATCTGGTCCCGCTCGGCGTCGGCGTCGCGGCATTGCCCGCCCAACCTGTGTAAATATTGTCGGGCATCGTCTCCCCATTTTTTTCGTTGCCCTCCGTGTTGCCGGCGTCCTCGCTGTCGGGCATTGAGATTTGGGTTCCAATTCAGCACTCTTTGCGTCCAGCGCGTCGGCGCGTGGTGAGCCACAGTATTCGCCCATCGCCAGACCAGTCGGAGGTGGATGTGTAGTACAGTATGTATGTCATGTTTGAACATCGGTGCTTCTGCGCTCCGCGTGCTCCTGCGCATGAAGTCGGACCACAACTCTACGTCGTCATCCAGGATAATGCCAGCCTGTGTGCCCGCGTCATTATTCACCTCGTCCTGCGCATGTGGCTGCCAGCTGGGCGGATTGTTGCAGACGTCGGATTCGCTGGAATCGTTTGGGACAGTGCTGCTGGTGTCGTGATTTTTGTTTTGGTCTGTCTCAATCATGCGGCGTCGGCGTTACTGCCGTGCGTCCTCTTGGTGTTCTAACTACCTGTCTGACCATCCGTCGCTGTGTTCGGGGTAGCTGCTGTTTGAGAGGCCCTGTCGGAGTCCACGTTTCTGCGCCATATATCATGGGTATAAGGGTGCATCTGTACAGCGTGAGCGGTTTCATATTCGGCGTTTCGACATTGGGCGGAAAGGGGGGGGTGGAGGGGTCTGGCTCCAGACCTTTGCTTAATGCGACTGTTTGCAACAGTACGTCCTATGGGGGAGACTCCACCTGCTCGAACCAGGCGCCAAAACCAGCCAAGATCTACTCCATGGGGGGGAGGGGGGATGCGAGGGCCCGCGCCGATCGGCAAAACAATGAATAAGAGAACGATCACAATCGTAGTCGGTGTTTCAGTGGGCAGTGCATACTAATGAATGTTTGTCTGCGGTCGCTGAAGCACGCTCATGCTGCTCGGATCCGGTGTTATATTTCGGTCCTGGGGGCACCGTGGAAAATGACGGTCTGGCCCAGGCAGATGATGGCTCTACTTCGTGGCAGTAGTTCGACTTCCATCAATCACACCTACTCTGGCCACCGTGTCGCAGTGTCGAGGCTGGTTGGTCACGACTTTGGTTTCAGCCGCGTGCAATTCCAATCCGTGTGGCTTGGCTGAAATGATGAGATCAGAGAGGAGTGTATGTTTTCTTTTTAAGTGGTGTTTGACTTGTCAGCACGCGAAGGTTGGTGAGTGTGGACGCTTTGGTGTGACCCTGTTGGACGCCTTGGCGTCGCCTTTGCCACTCTGTGGTCAGCGGAACTAATACGTGGAATAGCGCGTTGAACGATGGTGAACTCAAAAGGTCTCTTTGCTTTGTGCCGCGTCGAAGAGCAAATGGTTTACTGGTGGTGTCAGTGTGGACCAAGGCTGTCTGGTCTTGGTACATGCGCCAGAAGAAGTCGATATACTCTGGGGACTGTCTTGATGAAGTAGAGCTACCCATAAGATGTCGTGTTCGACTTGATCGAATGCCCTTTTCCAAACCTATGGCTGCAACCCACAGAGTCTGATTCCATTCCATTGCCCGCTAACGTAGGATATTGAAAATGAATAGGTGGTCACGCGTGCCCCGGCCAGGTCGGAAACCAGCTTTGTCGGCAGGCTGCTATCGGTCCAGAGTCCGTTGTAGTCTGTTGTGCACTAATCGGCTGAAGAGCTTGTACGGCATCGATATAAGGCATGCCTGACTTGGGGATTACAATGATGACGATTGTTCTCCAACTGGCTGGTGTGGAAGCGTCAACGTGTATGATGGTGTTGTACAGCTGCAGTGAGACGTGCTGCAGCTTCGGGCCTGGTTGCTGAAGCGTTTCAGCCCGAATCCCACCAGCCCTCTGGGCGTAGGTGGTTTAGAGAGTTTCTTATTCTACCCCTCCTTCTTCCCCTTCGGGGAGGGGTTTACCCCTCCCCCTAACCCCCTCCCCTGGACCTGGACGGGGCGTTTCGCAAGCGGTCAGAAGGTACTTGTTCGCCCAAGATGGCTCCAAGAGCGTTTCGGAAAGCCTAAGATGACCTCCAAGATTGATCAAGATAGCCTAGGGTACCTCAAGATGGCTCCGAAGATGCTCCAAGAGGCTCCAAGACCGCCCAAAGACGGCTCCAAGAGGCCAAATAGCTTTCCAAGGAGGCCTCCAAGAGGCAAACACCCTTTGCAAACCTAAGGAAAACCAATGATTGTTGCTTTCTCGCCGTTTCGCTTCCGATGGCCATCCGAGGCCTCAAGATTGCTCCCAAGTGGCTCAAGAAAGCCCCAAGAGGGGCCCAAGAGAGCCCCAAGACGGCCCCTAAGAGCGCCCAAGAGCGCTCCAAGAGTGGTCCAAGAGGCGATTTTAGAGGCTCCCGAGGGGCGGCGCTAATTAAACCCCCTCCCTTTTTTGATCGATATCCTCCAGGATGGCCCCAAGAGCGCCCCCAAGGCTCTCAAGAGCGCCTCATGATGGCCCCAAGAGGCGCCCAGGCGGCCCCAAGAAACGCAAAAGGCTTCCATGAAGCTCCCAAGAGACGCCCAAACGGCCCCAAGAGGCCCCCCCTGAGGCACGGAACAGGCCCCCGGGATCGCCAAGAAGCCCCCAAGACGGCCCAAGAGGCCCCCAAACTCAAAATCCCACCAGCCCTCTGGGCGTCGGTGGTTTAGAGCGTTTCCTCTTCCACCCCTCTTTTTTCCCCCTCGGGGAAGGGTTTATCACTGTTCCCTATGAATAAACACCCCCTCCCCCAGCCGACCGAGGGCCAACCCGGGTCCATGACGACACCCCGCACAATCCCTTTTGTAAAAAAACCATACCAAACACACTCTGCCTCCAAATTCGGAACATGCGCAGCCAACCCGATGCGCCCCCCACCCCACCATCCCTGTCAAAAAAAATAAAGAATACACTTGGCGAAGGTGGCGGCGGCTGCGGCGGCGGCGGCTGCGGCGGCGGCGGCGGCTGCGGCGGCGGCGGCGGCGGCGGCGGCGGTGGCGGCGGTGGCGGCGCGGCGTGGCGGTACGCAGGGCTGCGGCGGCGGCGGCGGCGTCGGCATCGGCGGCGGCGGCGGCGGCGGAGCGGAGGCGGCGGTGCGGTTGGCCCCCAGTAGCTACCCATCCAAAAACGACTGCTGAATATGCTTGAGGCTCGGCCAGACTCGGGTGCTACGTATGGTGTTGGGAGGGCGGGGTGTGAATGAACAGACGGCTTGCGGGGCCGGGGGGGTCTTGATCACTGTTCCCTATGAATATGAACACCCTCACCCCCACCCCCAGGCGACTGGCCCAACCCTTCCAATGACGCCACCCCACAATCCCTTGTAAAAAGTCCATTCAAAACACACTCTGCTCCAAATTCGGAACATGCGCAGCCAACCCGATGCGCCCCCCACCCCACCATCCCTGTCAAAAAAAATAAAGAATACACTTGGCGAAGGCGACGGCGGCTGCGGCGGCGGCTGCGGCGGCGGCGGCGGAGGCAGCGGCTGCGGCGGCTGCGGCGGCGGCGGCGGCGGCGGTGGCGGCGGTGGCGGCGGCGGCGGTGGCGGTAGCGGCAGCGGTTGCGGCGGCGGCGGCGGCGGCGGCGGCGGAAGCGGCGGTGGCGGCGGCGGATTGGCCCCCAATAGCTACCCATCTAAAGACGACTGCTGAATATGCTGAGGCTCGGGCCAGACTCGGGTGCTACGTATGTGTTGGGAGGGCGGGTGGGAGTGAGCGAGACGGCTTGCGGGTGGGGGGGGTCTTGGCCCCTCCCCCTACCCCCTCCCCTGGACCTGGACGGGGGGGTTTCGCGAGTCGTCGGGGCGTCCAAAACGGCCTCGGCGAGGAAGCCAAAATCATTGATTTTACTAGGGTCTCTGGGGGGGGGCGCTAATTGAACACCCCCCCATCCTGTGATCGATCTCCTCCAAGATGGCCCCAAGAAGAACCCAGGAGGCCCCAAAAGTGCCCCAAGATGGCCCCAAGATGGCCCCAAGAGGCTCCCAAGAGGCCCCCAGGAGGCCCCCAAGAGACCCCCAAGAGGCCCCAAGAGACCCCCCAGAGGCACCCAAGATGCTCCAAGAGGCCTCGGCGAGAATGCCAAAACGGCGTCGGCGAGGAAGCCAACATCATTGATTTCACCCGGGTGTTGGCCCCGTTTTGGCCTCCTGGGAGGTGGGAGGCGCTAATTAATGCTCCCCTCTTGTTTGATCAATCTCCTCCGAGATGGCCCCAAGAAACGCCCAGGAGGCCCCAAGAGGCCCCCAAGAGGCCCCAGGAGGCCCCCAAGAGACCCCCAAGAGGCCCCAAGAGACCCCCCAGAGGCACCCAAGATGCTCCGAGAGGCCTCGGCGAGAATGCCAAAACGGCCTCGGGGAGGAAGCCCAAATCACTGGTTTTACTAAGGTGTTGGCCCCATTTTGGCATCCTGGGGGGGCACTAATTAATGCTCCCCTCTTGCTTGATCGATCTCCTCCAAGATGGCCCCAAGAAGCGCCCAGGAGGCCCCAAGACGTCCCAAGATGGCCCCAAGATGGCCCCAAGAGGCCCCCAAGAGGCCCCCAGGAGCCCCTCAAGAGACCCCCAGAGGCACCCAAGATGCTCCAAGAGGCCTCGGCGAGTGCCAAATCATTGATGTTACGAAGGTTTTAGCCGCATGTTGGCCACACTAATTGAGATCAAGAGCGCCTGGGAGAGCCCAAAATGACCTCCAAGATGGCTCAAGATATCCCAAGAATCCCACCAGCCCTTTGGGCGTGAGTGGTTTAGCGAGCTTTCTCTGCTCTCAATCCCCCAACCCCCTTCTTCCCCTTCGGGGAGGGGTGTACCCCTCCCCCTACCCCCTCCCCCTGGACCTGGAGAGGGGGCCCCGCGGGTCGTTGGAGGGGTCTTCTCGGACTCCTACGAGGGCCAAAAAACGACTACCCTCACGAGGATTCTGGCCCCGACGGGGGGACAGAGATAAGTCCCTCTCCTCTTCTGCGAAGCCAAAAACATTGATTGTACTAAGGTTTTGGCCCCATTTTGGACTTCTGAGGGGGCAGCGCTCATCGTCCTTCCTAGCAAAATCATTGATGGTGCTAAGGTTTTGGCCTCATTTTGTCTTTCTCAGGGGGTAGCTCTTCTTTGCGCTTCTGAGGAGGTCGCAAGAGGCCCCAAGATGGCCCCAAGAGGCCCCCAGGAGGCTCCCAAGAGCCTCCAAGGAGACCCCCCCCCCCCAAAAAAAAAAAAAAGAAAAAGGCCCCCAAGCGGCTCCGATATCCCCCAAGAGGCCCCCAAAGGCCCCCAAGAGGCCCCAAGAGCCCCAAGAGGCCCCCAGAGGCCCGCCAAGAGGCCCCAAGAGGCCCCCCAAGAGGCCCCAAGAGGCTACCAAGAGTCACCCCAAAGCCCCACGGGGCCCGAACGACTCACACCACGAAGAGCCCGAACGACTCACACCAGAAGGAGGGGCCCGAACGACTCACACCAGGACGAGGCGCCCGAACGACTCACACCACGAGGAGCCCGAACGACTCACACCACGACGAGAGCCCCGAACGACTCACAAAACCACGACTCGGCCCCGAAAAGACCTCACACCACCACGACGCGCCCCGAACGACTCACACCACGAGGAGCCCGCACGACTCACACCACGACGCGGGCCCCGAACGACTCACACCACGAGGAGCCCGAACGAGTCACACCAGGAGGAGGGGCCCGAACGACTCACACCAGGATGAGGGGCCCGAACAACTCACACCACGAGAAGCCCGAACGACTCACACCAGGACGAAGAACCCGAACGACTCACACCACGAAGAGCCCGAACGACTCACACCAGGAAGAAGGGCCCGAACGACTCACACCAGGACGAGAAGCCCGAACGACTCAAACCACGAGGAGCGCTTTCTCTCCCTCCTCCTCCGCCTCGTCCTTCTCCCGCTCCCACCACAAGGAGGATGTACAAGGAGGCGGGAGGAAAGAGGAACAGGGGAGATATGCGGGGGCAGGCGGAAACACGCCTGAAAAACACGACTGTCGGCATGCTTCGCAAGAGTTGCTGTTTTGAGATGGGCTGGTGGGGATACGCGAAGCGTAAAGAATTCTCAGAATGGTTTCCTCTGTGTGCTGCCCACTTCCCTGATCGAGGCAACTCCTCTGGGCATCGTTTCTGGATGGGCTGGTGGGGATTCGCGAAGCGTCAACAATTCCGTTGGTGTCGGGCGCTTTACCGCCCTTGAGCTCAGAGACTGCCCTGGTGAGCTCCTCGGTCGTAAAGTTGGAATGTGCTGCGCTTCGGGTGTCGCGGCTGGTGGTGGGTTACGGTCTGGAAAACGGTCCCCATCACCTCAAAGATTGGCCTTTTCTTTCGCCGAGTTTTGATGAAGCGGATGTGTTTGAGGCCCTTGTACTGGTCCAATATGTTACTGATTCGCTCACTCTGGTCAGCACGCCTTTTTCGTCGAATGTTCTGCTGGCTCTCCAAGCAGAGCGCGTGCCAGAGACCGAGGGGTGGGATGGAGGAACGAGCCATGGCTCCGAGTAGATGAAGTGAAGCAGAAGCACCGCGATTGGAGAGGATCCTTCTGCTTCTGGCTGCTTCGTAGCAAGCCCCTGCAACCGTGGCGCATCACTGCCTCACGTGCACTCCAGCGGTGCAGCCGGGCAGCTCCGAGGAAACTCCGCGCGCTGGAGCAGGAACGCAAGACAGGGCACCCCTGCTGCTGCGCTATCCTCTCGGAGCCATCCCAGCCGAAGCAGACCGACCGCAGCCTCACGGCTTGCAGGCGCGGAGGCGGCAGAGGATCAGAAAGTGCGAGAAGGCGACGAGAGAGATCATCAGTTCGGTCCTTCTCGAACGTGCCCTGAGCGTGTTATTTGACCGTCTTGAGCTCGGCGTGCTGAAAATAATTTGCTCTAGCGTCTTGAGTCGGAAGCTGGGCGAGGGCTGCTAAAACCGTGGCTGCTAAAACGACCCTCCCGGAAGGAAATTATCCCGGCAAAGCAACCTAACAGCGATGTCTAGAAACATATCTGGAAGCATTCCCCTTAAGATTCAGATCAGAATCCAGTTGTAGAATTCTGCTGTTCTCGCAGTCGCAGTCGCATTCGCGATGACAGTCGCAGCGGCAACGGCAGTCACAGTCACAGCCCTCACCTCTGCCTCCCTCAGCATCACCCCGCCTCAGTTTCAGCTCAGCCTGCATCTGGCCTCAGCTCAGACAGTTCGCCTCACCTCAGTCTGCCTTCAAGCCTCGCCTCAAGCCTCAGCCTGCCTCAGCCTCAGCCTGCATCAGCCTCAGCCTCAGCCTCAAGCCTGCTCAGCCTCAGCCTGCCTCAGCCTCAGCCTGCTGCGCTCCCGCATACTCCTGCGGCCTCAGCCTGCCTCAGCCTCAGCCTGCATCAGCCTCAGCCTCAGCCTCAGCCTGCCTCAGCCTCAGCCTGCTGCGCTCCGCCAAGGCTCGGCCTCAGCCGCCTCCCTCACCTGCATCAGCCTCAGCCTCCCTCAGCCCTCAGCATCATCCTCAGCCTCACTCCAACCTGCCTCAACCTCAGCCCCACAGCCTGCCTTCCAGTCCGCCTCAGCCTCAGCCTGCATCAGCCTCAGCCTCACCCTCAGCCTGCCTCAGCCTCAGCATGCCTCAGCCTCAGCCTCAGCCTGCCTCAGCCTCAGCCTGCATCAGCCTCAGCCTCAGCCTCAGCCTGCCTCAGCCTCAGCCTGCTGCGCTCCCGCATACTCCTGCGGCCTCAGCCTGCCTCGGCCCCAGTCTGCATCAGCCTCAGCCTCAGCCTCAGCCTGCCTCAGCCTCAGCCTGCTGCGCTCTCGCATACTCCCGCGGCCTCAGCCTGCCTCAGCCTCAGCCTGCATCAGCCTCAGCCTCAGCCTCAGCCTCAGCCTCAGCCTTCAGCCTCAGCCTCAGCCTGCCTCAGCCTCAGCCTCAGTCTGCCTTCAGCCTCGGCCTCAGCCTGCCTCAGCCTGCCTCAGCCTCAGCCTCAGCCTCAGCCTGCCTGAGCATCAGCCGGCTTCAGCGTCTGCCTCAGCCTGCCTCAGCGTCAGCCTCAGCCTCAGCGCCTCAGTTGGCTCCAGGCACCCAAAATATGGCCCGGGAATGGAGTTCTGGGAACTCGAAGAGCACGAAGTGGCCTACAGTTGGCTCCAGGCATCCAAAATGTGCCGGGAATACAGTTCTGGGAACTCGAAGACCACGAAGTGGCCTACAGTTGGCTCCAGGCATCCAAAATGTGGCCCGGGAATGGAGTTCTGGAAACTCGAAGACCACGAAGTGGCCTACAGTTGGCTCCAGGCATCCAAAATGTACGCCGGGGGTGAAGTTCTGGAACTCGAAGACCACGAAGTGGCCTACAGTTGGCTCCGTGCACCCAAAATGTACGCCGGGAATGGGTGTTTAGCAGCGCAGTGCGATTTTGCGACCCCCCCGTTGTCCTAAGCGATTTGGGCTTCGGCGGCAGCCGCCCCGGGTCCCGCCCCGACCCCCCTGAGGAGTCATGATGCTCTCTTTTGACACCACTAGAAACCTATCAGTCTTCGCTGTTAGGTAAAAAAACTTCCCGGAATGAGACGCGGCACGCGAAACAGTCAACGGGCTTCTTCCCGGAAAGACGAAGACAACTTCCCGGAGGTCGACTTCAGCAGCCACGGATTTAGCAGCCCTTGCCCGGCTTCCGATTGAGGTCCCGACAAGACGCCTGACCTCTGCGACGCCCACCTCTCCTCCCCAGACCAGCTGGGGCCGCGGCCCTACCCCCTCCGCCCTCCCCCTCCCCCTCCGCCCCTCCGCCCACCCCCTCCGCCCCCCAGCTCGGGCCATACCCCCTCCGCCCTCCCCAGACCAGCTGGGGCCGCGGCCCCGCGCGTGCCCAGACCGGGCCGCTGCGAGACCGCCGTGAGATCTGAGCATCGCCTGGGAGATTCTGAACGTCGGGCACACTCCTCCTCCTCCTCCTCCTCCTCCTCCTCCTCCTCCTCCCTCCTCCTCCTCCTCCTCCTCCTCCTCCTCCTCCCTCCTCCTCCTCCTCCTCCTCCTCCTCCTCCTCCTCCTCCTCCTGCTCCTCCTCCTCGGGAACGGGGGATTGTGGCGGACCTCGCCTTTCGGATGGTGTTTTCGTATGGTTTTCCCCAGATTGTCGCATCCTTCCTCCTCTTCCTCATCCTTCTCTCTCCTCCTCTTCTTCCTCCTCCTCCCCATCCTTGCACAACTCCTCGTCGCCCTCCTCCCCCTCCCAGAAGGAGCGTCGTTTCCTGTTGCAACCCCCCCTTCCCCCCTTCCCCCCAAAAAACACTAGCGTCGCCCCCACCCCTTTTTCCCAACCATCCTGTGGTGTTGGGTCATCGATTTGAAATAACGGTCCCCCCGTTCTCCTCCTCCTCCTCCTTCTCTTCCTCCTCCTCGTCCCCCTCCTCCTTCCTCCCTCCTCCCTGCGTTTCGCCCACCCAGTACATCTCTACGTGGCCCCATAGGGAGCCCCACCGAAGGTCCCCGTGCTACCGTACGCATGCGTCCCGCACATCCAGTACAGCGGTTCGTGGCCCCCTCCTCTCTCCTCCCTGCGTTTCACCCACCCAGTACAACGCTTCGTGGCCCCATAGGGAGCCCCACCGAAGGTCCCAGTGCTACCGTCCGCATGCGCCCCGCACACCCAGTACAGCGCTGCGTGGCCCCATAGGGAGCCGCACCGAAGGTCCTAGCACTACCGTCCGCATGCGTCCCGCGCACCCAGTACAGCGTTTCCTGGCCCCCCTAGGGAGCTCCGCCGAAGGCCCCAGTGCCACTGTCCGCATGCGTCCCGAAAACCCAATTTGGCACGTTCACCCACCCAATACAGCACAGCGCTTCGTAGCCCTCGCCAAGATATTTGTTTGAGGGGGGGATCGCCCCCTCTTTATCCTTCTCCTCCTCCAACCCCTCGTCCTATCTTCCCTCCTCTTCCTTCTTATCCTCCTCCTCCTCCTTCTCATCATCATCGTCATCATCCTCATCATCATCATCATCATCATCATCATCATCATCATCATCATCATCATCATCATCATCATCATCATCATCATCATCATCATCATCATCATCATCATCATCATCATCATCATCATCATCATCATCATCATCATCATCATCATCATCATCATCATCCATCATCATCATCATCATCATCATCATCATCAGCATCCTCATCCTCATCATCATCATCATCATCAGCAGCAGCATCATCATCATCATCATCATCAGCAGCAGCAGCATCATCATCATCATCATCATCATCATCATCATCATCATCATCATCATCATCATCATCATCATCATCATCATCATCATCGTCATCATCATAATCATCATTATCCCTTCTTCCTCCTCCTCCTCCTCCTCCTCCTCCTGCTACGTTTCCCTCCTGCTGTTGGGTTCTCGTTTGGGAGAGACAGAGCCCAGCGTCTCATCCGTCCTTCCTTCCTCCTCCCTCCTCCCCCTCATCCGTCCTCCTTGCGTTTTACCCACCCAGTACAGCGCTTCGTGGCCCCATAGGGAGCTCCACCGAAGGCCCCAGTACCACCGCCCGCATGCGTCACCCACACACATGTCGGCACACCCCTCACACGCTTCGTGGCCCCATAGGGAGCTCCACCGAAGTCCCCAATGCCACCGCCCGCATGCGTCACCCACACCCATGTCGTCACACCCCTCACACGCTTCGTGGCCACATAGGGAGCTCCACCGAAGGCCCCAATGCCACCGCCCGCATGCGTCACCCACACCTATTCCAGCACACCCCTCACACGTTTCGTGGCCCCATAGGGAGGCGCCAGTGCCACCGCCCGCATGCGTCACCCACACCCATTCCCCCACACACACCACACGTGTCGTGGCCCCATAGGGAGCTCCACCGAAGGCCCCAGTACCACCGCCCGCATGCGCCACCCACACCCATTTCGTCACACCCCTCACACGTGTCGTGGCCCCGCGTCACCCACACCAATTCTGGTACACCCCTCGCGCCAGTGTCACCGCCTGCGTGCGTCACCCGCACCCATTTCGCCACACCCCTCACACGTTTCGTGGCCCCAGAGGGAGCTCAAACGAAGGCCCCAGTGCCACCGCCCGCATGCATTTCGGCACACCCCTTACACGCTTCGTGGCCCTATAGGGAGCTCCACCGAAGGCCCCAGTGCCACCGCCCGCATGCGTCACCCACACCCATTTCGTCACACCCCTCACACGTTTCGTGGCCCCATGGGGAGCTCCACCGAAGGCCCTAGTGCCACCGCCCGCATGCGTCACCCACGCAAATTCCGGCACCCCCTCACTCGTTTCGTGGCCCCATGGGGAGCTCCACCGAAGGCTCCAGCGGCTGCGTTCGCATGCGCCCACCGCACCCAATTCGGCACACCCCGCACGCGTTTCGTGGCCCCGTAGGGAACTCCACCGACAGCGCAAGTGGCTGCTCTCGCAGATCGCAACCCCTCAGGGACGGCAAGGTCCCACTCAGATCTGCGCGGTGCCTCACCCCGCAGGACCCACCAGCAGCCCTCGAAAGAGGCGACGGTTTCGCAGATCGCAGCCCCCCAGGGACGGCGAGGTCCCGCTCAGATCCCCGCGGTGCCTCACTCCGCTGGACCCGCCAGCAGCCTTCGAAAGTGGCAACAGTTCCGCACATCGCTATGCTGCCCCCCCAAGCAGCCCTCGAAAGTTGCGACGGTGTCGCAGATCGCAGCCCCCCAGGGACGGCGAGGTCCCGCTCAGATCTGCGCGGTGCCTCACTCCGCAGGACCCACCAGCAGCCCTCGAAAGTGGCGACGGTTTCGCAGATCGCAGCCCCCCAGGGACGGCGAGGTCCCGCTCAGATCTGCCGCGGTGCCTCACTCCGCAGGACCCACCAGCAGCCCTCGAAAGTGGCGACAATTTCGCAGATCGCAGCCCCCCAGGGACGGCGAGGTCCCGCTCAGATCTGCGCGGTGCCTCACTCCGCAGGACCCACCAGCAGCCCTCGAAAATGGCGACGTTTCGCAGATCGCAGCCCCCCAGGACGGAGGTCCCGCTCACACTCCGTCGCGGCAGATCGCAGCCCCCCAGGGACGGCGAGGCGCGCACACCAGCAGCCCTCGAAAGTGGCGACGGTTTTCGCAGATCGCAGCCGCCCCCCAGTCACGGCGAGGTCCCGCTCAGATCTGCGCGGTGTCTCACCCCGCTGGACCCACTAGCAGCCCTCGAAAGTGGCGACAGTGTCGCAGATCGCAGCCCCCCAGGGACGGCGAGGTCCCGCTCAGATCTGCGCGGTGCCTCACATCGCAGGACCCACCAGCAGCCCTCGAAAGTGGCGACAGTTTCGCAGATCGCAGCCCCCCAGGCACGGCGAGGTCCCGCTCAGATCTGCGCGGTGCCTCACCCCGCAGGACCCACCAGCAGCCCTCGAAAGTGGCGACAGTTTCGCAGATCGCAGCCCCCCAGGGACGGCGAGGTCCCGCTCAGATCCCCGCGGTGCCTCACTTCGCAGGACCCACCAGCAGCCCTCGAAAGCGGCGACAGCGTCGCAGATCGCAGCCCCCAGGGACGGCGAGGTCCCGCTCAGATCTGCGCGGTGCCTCACCCCGCAGGACCCACCAGCAGCCTTCGACTCTCAAACTGTATGTGTATCTGCTCGGACGCACGACAACACAAAACAATATGATGCGTTAGCCAATGTTTTCCATCAGGCATCGCGCAGCGCCACAGGCCCGAGAGACGTCATTGAGCACCTGCTGGGTTGCAACCTCGGGGAACACTCCTGGCGCCTAATATGGAAAGGCGGTGTGCCTGCGAGCCAAATAAGATACGGATTAAGGCGATCGCGTAACATCTACAACTTGCTGCTCATCAGTTCGACTCGTCAGGACAGGGGGGGGCTGACGAAATGGGAGGGGCGGGGTACACTATCAGAACAACTTGCAAGCAACCAACCCCTTCCGGAAAACCAGCAGGTGGAAGTGTTGGTTGGGGCCTCTGGTGCTGAAGAACAGGTGGCGGAACCCCCAGGCTGACATGCCACAGTGCTGCAGGTCCCAGATCAGAGCCGCAGCGGCAGAACACGTTGCCTCACGGCTCAGGCCGAGTTCCCGCCATCTGGCCGTTCGGCCAAGCACTAGGCACCGGAACCATCGAGGCGAAACGAGGCACGGCGGGGGGAGGACCGCCTCCCGAGGCTTCCACTCGATGGCGCACGTGTTCACGTTGATGACCATGTCAAGCCAATCAAGCTTCGGACCCCTCCCGGCCAAATCAAAATCGATCGGGTAAATATGGTCGGGCAGAGAAGCCAGGCATTCTTGACAAAATACCTTGGATATGAATATCCCATCATCCACGTAACGCTTGCAGGCCACCAGCTGGTGCCAATCCAGGCCAGCGATGCCGAAGCCAGCTCGCGTCCGCACGCTCGCATCGTTTGCCCATGCGCGCTCGGCCTCTCCGAGCACCGCCGAAGCGGCGATCTTCGAGCAGAGCCCACCAATCGGCGCGCCGGATGTCTGGGCGACCTTATCACCAACTTGACACCAACGGATCTTCATAGCTGCAGTGAACGTGGACAAGAGCTCAGAGAAGCTGAACCATACCTGTCGGCCCTTGCAAGCAAAACCCGTCGCGGCGATGTACGTGCCTTCGCCTTTGGGCCCTACAATGATGGTATTTCGGCCGGTGGAGGCGGCAGCCCTGTCGAGCACCCCCTTCATGGCCTCCACGGCACTCTCTGCCTTCACCACCTCGAAAAATTGCCCTGCATCGGCCACGACGCCGGCGACCGGCGGTTTCGGAGAACGACACCGGGCGCAAACGCAGGCGAGATTCCCAGGGCGAACAGACAGCTGCTCATATGCCTCCGTCACCTCGCGCGCTGTGTCCTTGAGGGACCAGACCTCCCAGGAACCGCCATGATGCTTCAGGACGTGGCCGAGTCCTCTGGACACGGCGCGCCACGCCCGGCGAGCTGGCCACCCTGCGAAACTGACAATCTTCCTAGCGCAAGAATGTTGAAATCGTGTGCACGTGCGCCCGCGGCCGCCGCCATCATAACACTTGCTTTTCAGTGTCGTGTACATGTAAGGCAGCCACTCGGCGCGGCGATCCACGCAAAACGTACGATGCAGGCGCCCGGGAATCAGAAGCGCCAAGATGTCCACAACGAGCAAAGACGCCGTGCACGGCAGCAGCGACGTGAACGACCAATGCGGCGATGAGACGATGTACAGCACAAGGGTGGCAACATAGTACGGTTCGGGCATGTGCCAGCACCATCTCTTCTGTTTGTCATCTTTAGTAACAATGTGGTCGGCTTGCACATTGCACAGAGGTTCTGTGAACTCGTCGTAGTCTGCCCGACGAGCGCGTCGCTCTTGCTCCAGACACCGGGTGCCCCGGCAGTTCCTGAAGAGCCGTTCCCAGTGCGCGCACTGGGCGGCGAGGCTGGGCACGTTGAGGCGCCAGTCCCTCGCCCAATCGCGCACCGTCTCAGCGGCCCGGCGGCAGTACCGGCCAGGCGACTCCCACACAGGGATATCCCAATTCGTCTTGACCAGGCGGCAACGGCGCCCTTGTGCACGGCGCCCCCACGCATCGTCGCTCCAGCCCAGGGCTTCGGAAATATCAGCGCGCCGGCTGGCCCTAGGGGCGTTGACCCGGTCAATCCACTTGGCCACCGGCTCTGGTACCACGGCCGTTTGCTGCAACCACCACCGTTTCCGGGCTGGGGACAGGGAAGGCGACGACCATAAAATATTTCGGATCAGGCGACGCGTCCGGGGTACCAAAACAGCAGGAACATTCAGTCTGTGCACTGTGAGGCCCGGAAGGCCGAGTACTCTGAGACGATTGCCAATGCAACGGCGGGCACGGGCACGGATACGCGGCCGGCGGATCAGCTCCGCCAGGGGCAACAGTCTCAGCACAACATCAGCGTCCTCGAAACGGCGCTCCAGGAGCCGCCAAGGGGGACACACGCCCCGAGTCCCGAACCACAGAACAGCCATGATGAGCCACTGCACGCTGAAGATGTCCAGCGGCCCCTGGACCCTGGTACCGTCAGCTACTTGGCGGATTACTCGGCGATACGCCTCGGTGTAGGTGCACTGGCCGAGTGCCTCCGGGGATACGGCGGCCGAGCAGGCAGTACCAACTATATTGGCGTGCGGTTGGTGTTGGGGGGTGCCTGCGGCTGGACCAACCTCCTCCAGCAAGCGGCAGACCGGCACTCTGGCCCCTGATCTCTTGCTCCGGGGAGGCCGCCGTCTGGCCACGTCCGACCGAGGGCGGCGAGAGCGGCATGGCATTGCATTGCCTGTCGGGCGGCACTGCCTGAGTGCTTCACGTTCACGATTGAGTGTGCTGTTGACATCGCTCGCCTGCACAACCATAAACATCGTGTGATGTAAGGGCTCTCGACGGGCAAGTCGGTATCGGAGCTTCCCCGAACCCGGCAAAGACCTGTTGTTTGAAAACGTCAGATGTTCTAACCATCGGAGGGGAACACCAGACCGCCCTGCACGACTCACCCGGTCACGCCTCGCCACGCCAATGTACCTGAGGGCTGGGGACATCCAGTGGTACAGACACGCCTCATGCCCAACAAAGGCCGAAACTGGAAAAACTGCGTGCCGCTGTAACTCCATCAGGTCAGACAGAGCACGTTCGGCAGCCAGGTAACCCTGCTCCGCGGCGAAATCACGGTAAGAGTGAAGCACCTTCCCACAATATTTCGGCAGGGTCTGCAGAGTGAGCCGTGCAGTGGTCCACCGGATATGCGAACGAATCCAAGCCAGTGAACGGCACACAGTGATCACAGCGAAAAGTTGCTCGACCTCCTTGCAGCTCCTGCGCCAAAAGATGGACGGCGGGAAAAGCCAGTCGAGCAACATTGAAGACAATACTTGGAGGGATTTCACGAAGGTGCTGGGGACCCTGCGCTGTCGCAGGATAGACGCGATCTCCGCGAACAGCGCCCGGTACACGAGATCGCAGCCTCGCACAACATCGCCTTCGTATTGTCTGCCCGTGTCTGGCAGTCCAAGGACCAGACAGTACACGGCCATGATGATACGTCGCGTGGCCGCCGCATTCGTCCACAACGCAAAGTCGGGAGGCACGGAACTCGCGTGGTACACACGTGACGCACGCTCCGACAACATGACCAATCTGCACAACTATCGGCGAAATGATATGTATGTATGAATATGTATGGGCTCGCCTGCGAAGGGCGGCGTACAGGTGGACCGTTGCACTGTTGCCGGAAACCACCTGGATCTGAAGACTCTCAAACTGTATGTGTATCTGCTCGGACGCACGACAACACAAAACAATATGATGCGTTAGCCAATGTTTTCCATCAGGCATCGCGCAGCGCCACAGGCCCGAGAGACGTCATTGAGCACCTGCTGGGTTGCAACCTCGGGGAACACTCCTGGCGCCTAATATGGAAAGGCGGTGTGCCTGCGAGCCAAATAAGATACGGATTAAGGCGATCGCGTAACATCTACAACTTGCTGCTCATCAGTTCGACTCGTCAGGACAGGGGGGGGCTGACGAAATGGGAGGGGCGGGGTACACTATCAGAACAACTTGCAAGCAGCCTTCGAAAGTGGCGACACTGTCGCAGATCGCAGCCCCCCAGGGACGGCGAGGTCCCGCTCAGATCTGTGCGGTGCCTCACTCCGCAGGACACACCAGCAGCCCTCGAAAGTGGCGACGGTTTCGCAGATCGCAGCCCCCCAGGCACGGCGAGGTCCCGCTCAGATCTGCGCGGTGTCTCACCCCGCTGGACCCACCAGCAGCCCTCGAAAGTGGCGACAGTTTCGCAGATCGCAGCCCCCATCGTCGGCGAAGAGAGGGCAGGAGGAGGCGGGAGGCGGGAGGAGAATGGACGCGACCACAGTGCTCGATTCGAAACGAATACCCAACCAAGGAGGGTTGGGAAATTACCCTGGCGACGTACCCAACCCTTGCGCAATGCGGGGCATATGTACATCAGGATTGCTACAACGGGGGCGATGATGTAACATGGACGCATGTGATTTTGCGAGCAGCAATCCGAAGGCTCGCGGTCCCCAGATCAAGATCTAAGGGCTACGTAATAACAAATCACCCCCGTTGGCTGTACCATGCGCCCGTTGCACCCAACGTATCCCACAGCAATTCTTGAGGGCCCCCGCGGGATACGTGTAGGCGCAACGGTATGGTCATCGCCCGGCAGATGGTATGTTTCACAAATCACCCCCGTTGGCTGTGCCATGCGCCCGTTGCGCGTAACGTATCCCACTGCAGCTCTCCAGAGCCCCCCCAGGGACGGCGAGGTCCCGCTCAGATCTGCGCGGTGCCTCACCCCGCAGGACCCACCAGCAGCCCTCGAAAGTGGCGACAGTGTCGCAGATCGCAGCCCCCCAGGGACGGCGAGGTCCCCGCTCAGATCCCCGCGGTGCCTCACCCCGCAGGACCCACCAGCAGCCCTCGAAAGTGGCGACGGTTTCGCAAATCGCAGCCCCCCAGGGACGGCGAGGTCCCGCTCAGATCCCCGCGGCGCCTCACTCCGCAGGACCCACCAGCAGCCCTCGAAAGTGGCGACAGTTTCGCAGATCGCAGCCCCCCAGGGACGGCGAGGTCCCGCTCAGATCCCCGCGGTGCCTCACTCCGCAGGACCCACCAGCAGCCCTCGAAAGTGGCGACAGTGTCGCAGACCGCAACCCCCCAGGGACGGCGAGGTCCCGCTCAGGTCCCCGCGGCGCCTCACTCTGCAGGACCCACCAGCAGCCCTCGAAAGTGGCGACAATGTCGCAGACCGCAGCCCCCCAGGGACGGCGAGGTCCCGCTCAGATCCCCGCGGTGCCTCACTCCGCAGGACCCACCAGCAGCCCTCGAAAGTGGCGACAGTGTCGCAGATCGCAGCTCCCCAGGCACGGCGAGGTCCCGCTCAGATCCCCGCGGTGCCTCACTCGTAGGACTCACCAGCAGCCCTCGAAAGTGGCGACAATGTCGCAGATCGCAGCCCCCCAGGGACGGCGAGGTCCCGCTCAGATCTGTGCGGTGCCTTACTCCGCAGGACCCACCAACAGCACTCGAAAGTGGCGACAGTGTCGCAGATCGCAGCCCCACAGGGACGGCGAGGTCCCGCTCAGATCCCCGCGGCGCCTCACTCCGCAGGACCCACCAGCAGCCCTCGAAAGTGGCGACACTGTCGCAGACCGCAGCCCCCGAGGGGCGGCGAGGTCCCGCTCAGATCCCCGCGGTGCCTCACTCCGCAGGACCCACCAGCAGCCCTCGAAAGTGGCGACAGAGTCGCAGATCGCAGCCCCCCAGGCACGGCGAGGTTCCGCTCAGGTCCCCGCGGCGCCTCACTCCGCAGGATCCACCAGCAGCCCTCGAAAGTGGCGACAGAGTCGCAGATCGCAGCCCCCCAGGGACGGCGAGGTCCCGCTCAGATCCCCGCGGCGCCTCACTCCGCAGGACCCACCAGCAGCCCTCGAAAGTGGCGACAGTGTCGCAAATCGCAGTCCCCCAGTGACGGCGAGGTCCCGCTCAGATCCCCGCGGTGCCTCACTCGTAGGACTCACCAGCAGCCCTCGAAAGTGGCGAAAGGTTCGCAGATCGCAGCGCCCCAGCGACGGCGAAGAGAGGGCAGGAGGAGGCGGGAGAAGAAGGAGGGACGCGACCACAGTGCTCTATTCAAAACGAATACACAACTAAGGAGGGTTGGGAAAACTTGTTTCCAACTATCATGTGGTGTTGGGTCCTTATTTTGAAATAACGGTCCCCGCGTTCTCCTCCTCCTCCTCCTCCTCCTCCTCCTCCTCCTCTCCTCCTCCTCCTCCTCCTCCTCCTCCTCCTCCTCCTCCTCCTCCCTCCTCCCCGTCCTCCTTCCCTGCGTTTCACCCACCCAGTACAGCGTTTCGTGGCCCCATAGGGAGTCCCACCGAAGGTTCCAGTGTTACCGTCCGCGTGCGTCCCGCACACCCAGTACAACGTTTCGTGGCCCCATAGGGAGCACCAGCGAAGGTCCCAGTGCTACTTTCCGCATGCGTAACGCACACCCAGTACAGCGTTTCGTGGCCCCGTAGGGAGCTGCACCGAAGCCCCCAGTGGGACCGCCGCCACGCGTCCCGGAAACACAATTTGGCATTTTCACTCGCCCAGTACAGCGCTTCGTGGCCCTATAGGGAGCTCCACCGAAGGCCCCAGTAGAACCGCCCGCATGCGTCCCGGCTGGCATTTTCACCCGCCCAGTGCAGCGCTTCGTGGCCCCGTAGGGAGCTCCAACGAAGCCCCCAATGGGACCGCCCGCATACGTCCCGGAAACCCAATTTGGCATTTTCACCCACCCAGTACGGCGTTTCGTGGCCATCCACCCAATACAGCGCTTCGTGGCCGCATAGGGAGCTCCACCGAAGCCCCCAGTGGGACCGCCCGCATGCGTCCCCCCCACACTCATTTGGCATGTTTACCCACACAGTACAGCGCTTCGTGGCCCTATAGGGAGCCCCACGGAAGCCCCCAGTGGGACCGCCCGCAAGCGTCCTCACACCCACACACACACATACTTTGGCATTTTCACTTACCCCGTAACGCGCTTCGTGGCCCCATAGGAAGCTCCACCGGAGCCCCCAGTGGGACCGTCCGCATGCGTCCCGAAAACCGAATTTGGCATTTTCACTCGCCCAGTACAGCGCTTCGTGGCCCCATAGGGAGCTCCACCGAAGCCCCCAGTGGGACCGCCCGCATGTGTCCTACACACCCAATCTGGCATTTTTTCACGCACCCAGTACAGCGTTTCGTGACCCCGTAGGAAGCTCCACCGAAGCCACCAGAGGGACTGTCCGCATGCGTCCCGAAAACCGAAATTGGCATTTTCACCCACCCAGTACAGCGCTGCGTGGCCCCATAGGAAGCTCCACCGACGGCCCCAAAGCTACCGCCCGCATGCGTCCCCCCACCCAGTGCAGCGCTTCGTGGCCCCAAAGGGAGCTTCACCGAAGAAGATATTCACAATTGCGGTACCCACAACTGCATATGGTTGGGTCCTTCGCCAGGATAATTCCCAACCATCCTGTGGTGTTGGGTTCTCGTTTTGAAGAGACAGCGAACCGCGTCTCCTCCTCCTTCCTTCCTCCCTCCTCCCCCTCCTCCCTCATCCCTGCGTTTCACCCACCCAGTACAGCGCTTCGTGGCCCCATAGGGAGCTCCACCGAAGGCCCCAGTGCCACCGCCCGCATGCGTCACCCACACCCATTCCAGCACACCCCTCACACGCTTCATGGCCCCATAGGGAGCTCCACCGAAGGCCCTAATGCCACCGCCCGCATGCGTCACCCACACCCACTCCAGCACACCCAGCCACCGCCCGCATGCGCCACCCACACCCATGCCGGCACACCCCTCACACGCTTCGTGGCCCCATAAGGAGCTCCACCGAAGGGCACAGTGCCACCGCCCGCACTCGTCACCCACACCCATTTCGGCACACCCCTCACACGTTTCGTGGCCCCATTGGGAGCTCCACCGAAGGCCACAATGCCACCGCCCGCATGAGTCACCCACACTCAATTCGGCACACCCCTGACGCGCTTCGTGGCCCCATAGGGAGCTCCTCCGAAGGCGCCAATGCCCCCGCCCGCATGCGTCACCCACACCCATTCCGGCACACCCCTCACACGTTTCGTGGCCCCATAGGGAGCTCCGCCGAAGGCTCCGGTGCCACCGCCCTCATGCGCCACCCACACCCATTCCGGCACACCCCTTACACGTTTTGTGACCCCGTAGGGAGCTCCACCGAAGGCCACAGTTCCACCGCCCGCATGCGCCACCCACACCCATTTCGCCACACCCCTTACACGTTTCATGGCCCCATAGGGAGCTCCACCGAAGGCCCCGGTGCCACCGCCCGCACTCGTCACCCACACCCATTCCGGCACACCCTTCTCACGCTTCGTGACCCCATAGGGAGCTCCACCGAAGGCGCCAGTGCCACCGCCCGCACGCGTCACCCACATCCTTTTTGTTCACACCCCTCACACGGTTCGTGTCCCCATAGGGAGCTTCACCGAAGGCCCCGGTGCCACCGACCGCATGCGTCACCCACACACATTCCGGCACACCCCTCACGCGTTTCGTGGCCCCATACGGAGGGCCACAGAAGGCGCCAATGGCTGGGTTCGCGTGCGCCCACCGCACCCACTTCGGCACACCCATCACCCTCGCGGCCCCATAGGGAGCTCCTCCGGCGGCCCCAGTGGCTGACTTCGCATGCGCCCACTGCACCTATTTCGGTACACCTCTCACGAGTTGTGTGGCCCCATACGGAATTCCACCGACGGCCCCAGCGGTTGCCTTCGCATGCGCCCACCGAACAATTTTTTGGTACACCCCTCACACGCTTCGTGGCCCTATAGGGAGCTCCTACGAAGGCGGTGCATACAACGACGGTGCTCATAACTGCAGATGGTTGGGTACTTCGCCAGGCTAAATTTTCCCCCAACCATCCTGTGGTGTTGGGTCCCCGTTTTGAAGTAACAGGCCCCGCGTTTTCCTCCTCCTCATCCTCCCCCTATCCCCTC